TGCTGCTGCTGCTGCTGCTACTGCATGTTGCTTGCATTTGCATATTCTCTAATTTGGCTAGTTTGGCAATTGCGGCCGATTTTGCAAAACGTTATTTGCCAGGGGCGTCTGGTTTTGGGCATATAACCATGCCCCTCGCCCCGTCGCCCCCTCGTCCTCGGCCACGCCCATCTGCTTTCCGTTTGGCCTCACAAGTATTTAGTCTATGACTAGTTGAGTGGTTTGAAGTGTGCACCCAGTGGCCCAGCCACAGAGACCCATCAGAGGCAGTGCCTCCTCAACTCTACACTCCTGCACACTGCTCTCCCCTGTCTCTGACTTTGCCATGTCTTCTGTGTATGTGTGTGTGTGTGTGTGTTTGTCGTGTGAATTTGTTTAGTTTGAAGTGTGCTGGCAAATGGCAGAGGTCAAAGTTTGTACATCTTGCTCTCGGAATGGCTTCTCATTCGCTTCGCTCGCTCTTAAACTCACCTGCTATGTCCATAAATCGTTGGACTTGAACGATTATTTGTGGGGGCCGTTCGTTTGATATATTGCCTCTTTTTTGCTCTTCTATATAAATGTATATATATATAAATCGTAATGTTGCGAAACCGTATCGAGCATTTTGTGCAGTCAGGCCAATCACATTATGAAAGCAACCAATTTTAATTACGACCATTACAACAACTGGAGCGCTCGCGAAAAAACCGCAACGACAACAAGTTGAATAAGTACAACAGCAACAACAACAACAAGAACAACGTTTAATGGGCGAAATGTCAGCTAATGCCTGAGCCAAAAACTCATTTAGCCGCGTTAAAGTAATTACAATTTATAGGCCACAAAAATCCGTAACACAACATAAATCCAAATGAACGCGCAATGCGACTCGACTGCTTCCCCCGTCTCTCGTCTCTCGTCTCTCATCTACCATCTCTCGTCTCCATCTCCTTCATCTTCATTGTTCATCGTTCGTCGTCGTTCGTCGTTCCGCTAGGAGTTAAAAATTTTAACCACATAGCAGCAAAAGTCACGAGAGCAAACGACACCTGACAGCTGTTTGGCTCTGCTCTGGCACGGCCCTCGTCCGGCCCTGCCACGCCCCGTTCATATTGTGTCTTTATTACACGGCCAACAGCAACGGGCGATAAATAAATAAATAAATGCCGCCTAACAAGCCGCAAGCAGGCGAAATTTGTTGCAATTCATTGACTTGGCGCACGGGCGCAAACATAAATTCCGTTTCGGCCGCCTCCAGCCCGCACCTGGAGAAACCTGTAAAATATCGACAGCAACAGACTCAGCTACAACAACAACTTGTAAGTGTATTCTGCGAGGGGGAGCCAAGGTACGCCAACCTGACATATGCCTGGTAATGAGGCAAAGAGGCAATGTTCGCTATGAGCTCAGCAAAATGAGCGTAAGAAATATATAAAAAAAAAACATTGCCTACATATCGGCGCAGCATTTGGCATCGCAATAAGAATCAACAAAAACAAAACACAGAGCAAATAGTGATAGAAAGTAAA